ACCCTGTCTTCAGTAAGGCTTTTGAGGCTGTCCCTCATAATATCTTCATGGGTAAGCTTAGAGGATGTGGGACAGATGAATGAACAGTGAGGTGGATTGTGAACTGGTTGACCTGAAGTAATCAAAATCTCTGGATGCTCTCCTGTGTAACTCTTTTCTGTATAACCTACTCTAGGAAACCTGCTTTAGCTGTGGAGTTGGACTAGTTGATTTCCAGAGTTCCCTTTCAACCCTTACAATTCTGCAGTTCTCTTTAACTTGTGAAATCAACATACATTATTTGTGACTTTCAGACCCTTCAGTAGAGGAGTGCAATGGGGTCGTTGAAAATGTAGTTGGAATGGATATTTTTATGGTTGTTGGAAGACTGAAGAGGGATCATAGGCAAGAGGCTGACTGAGAAACCTGCAGTCGCATTAATATGAATTGGTAAGGGAGATCTGGAATGTACGTATAAAATATTATACATACTAAGAACTACAGCTGTGTTTTTGGTATATTAGACTTGATTATCCTATCTAGATTTTTTTTTTTACCGTATCAAAATTTATTCGTGGAAATTGCTTCTGTAAGATACTGCTTTTGAGGGCAGCTGGTTGCTTCTCCAAAGTAGAAATGTGTTCCAATAGAAAACACTGACCGTGGTGGTTGTTTGTTTTTTATAGAAAGCATGCTGACTTTTCTGATCTTTATTTAGTATGGACTATGATAAATGCGTGTATAAAGTTTGTGTAGATACCTATTTCAACCACTAAATGTTTTTTCTCTGCATTTACATCCTAACATTTTAAAAGGAGTTATGAGAACTATATTGGAAGTCAAGTAAAGCATAGTGATTACCATTGTGATATATTTTGACAGTTAAGTTTTAGATCAAGACAGTGGATTACTGTGCTGAAAGATACAGAGTTTTAAGTACATAATCTTACTGCTGTCTCCTTCCTTTTTGCTCTTCTTCATAGCTGTGATGCTATGAAAGGAAATATCAGATTTGTTTTACTTTTTTTCCTTAGGCATTCTGAAGCCTTCTCAACATCATTTATCAATCTAAGTTCTTAGGTGTTTCTTTCTAGGGGTACATATGTGTATGTGTGGTATTTTTGACTTTGTATTTTTTCAGTGTGCCGTGTTCTTGCGTGCAGGTCATGCTTCTGTTATTCTTCTACTTTTCTCTAATGTTGTAGTCAGCTATAAACCACATAACCTTCTACTATTTACAGAGTAATCTGAACTGAACAATTTCTTAATTCTTGTTGGGGCAATGGGCAGCTTCTTTTTTTGCTTCCAGTGTTGCTTGTTGGTTATCTGAATGTTGTTTGTACTGCTCATGTCACCATATCCACTGCTGAAACATTTAACTTGAAGGCCTGTATCTGTCTTGCCTCGAGCCAGGGTGTGTGAGTATCTTCAGTGATCCAGTGGGTTTTCTTTCTGGCTGGGGTACTTAAACATGTGTTGCACCTGTCTGTATTTCTCAGTGATTGGAGAATCTTTACTGTTTAGATCTAAGATGACAGAGTGAAAGAATTATACCTGCTCTGTGTTTGATATTGGTATATTAAGAGACCTAGAAGGCAGTCTAGCATGATGTTATCTTTGGATTTGGCTTTGTTTGCAGTGAAGAATCAGTGTTGGCTGTCCAAGAAGAGTGCTGGCCTGGGCAAGCCTCTAACTACTGAGGTGCCAAAGAGGTGACATCTGGGGGCTGGTCAATGCTAACATGCTTCTGACCTGCCACAATGCCTGGCAGACCAGTGCTGTCACTGTCTGGCTCATGGTCTTAGCTGACTGTCTTTTCTAGATGGTGAAATCTCAGAAAGACAAGTATTTAACCAGAGATAAATTCCAGCTTCTGGTTGACGCACATCTGTCTAATATCGTCAAGCAGTAAATATTTTTACCATAATCCAATGAGTGACAATGAATAAGAGAGGTATTAGATACAGGTTGAATATTTTTGCTTTGTTGTATGCTTCAAAGCAAAACTCCAGGAGCATAAACTCACTTGGAAAGAATTAATGGCAGTGGATGCACTAGATGCTGAAACAAAGTCTGACCATCAAAGCTATTCTCAGGAAGGTAGGGAGCTATGCTTAAATAGCTCAGGAGAGGGCAGATCACCCTACACACTCCAAGGACAGCATATATCCTAAGTCTGCATCTCTAGATGTCTTTGGAGGCTTGGAGTTTGGACAGCAGCTACTGAATCTTAAGTTAAAACCACCTGGAAAACATGAGCTGCTGTGTCTTCCTTTGTGCTGCAGCTGTCATGTCTGAGTTGAAGACTGAGATCTGGCTCAGACCCAGTTGAAAGAGAAGAGACTTTGTAGTTATCTTTATCAATCTCATCAAAGCTGCTGAGGATAGGCCACTATAAGCCCCTGGCTTGGTGCTGTAGAATAGCACCCCATGCCACGTAGAAGTACTTCATTCAGACCTCTTTTTTCTGCTCTTCCAAGACCCCAGTAGCTCTTTGAGTTTTCCAGATTACTTTTATAGAGCTTCAGTGCAAGATTTTAGTTGCATGCTTTTGAGTACAGGAAACCGTAAAGGCAAATCAGTACTGAAAATTGTAAACACTTCCTTTTCTATGTATGTAATAACAGCTGCTGTTTTAACTTGAACTACAGTAGTAAGCTTTGGATGTCCATGGATGAAACCATGTTTTAAAAACCCTTCCCCCCATCCTACAAAGCAGACTTCACCGTAAAATCCTTTTTTCACCATTTTGATGATGACCTACTGTTCGAATACTTTTAATCCTCAATCTGTATAAAAGTTATGTTTTGCATTAAATCCTTTTCCTCTATGGATTTCTGAGGTAATCCTCTGTATGCCATATAGCTTGTTCTTTAAATTGCTTGCATACTAAGAGTTCTGTTTAGAAACTTTTAAAACACTGATTTTAAACACAATTCAGCTGTGTATATATTTCTGTGCAGAACTCAGTTTTGTACGTTTTCTTTCTCTAAAATTGTATCCTATTGAAACTGTTGAGTACTTTCTGTAATTTCATCAGTCACTGTAAGTCAAATGTGGTGCTTGGCAGAGGAGTCACTGATGTGCTAGGTAATGTGTGCATTTTTTTTCTTTAAATGATTTCTGTTGGGATTTCTTTCCTCTTGGAGATCTTACAGAAAAGAGAATCCATTCAAAAGGAAGTGTGTATATTTGGTTGTGCTAGGAGATGGAGATTTGGGCTGGTAACGGTGTATTGAATTGTATTTTCCTTTATCTCATACTCTGTGCATCTGCATTATATTTTTCATCATAGTTATCTGTCTTAAATATAGAAAACATACGGAGAAATTATGGGCTTTCTCATTGTGTTCCATTCCTGTGTTCTCTGTTGGTTTTTGTTTAATATTTTAGTTACAAATAAATCAGAAAAATGTCAGTTGAAGAGAAGACACAAAACATCTTGGTGTTGGCCGTGTCTTGGTGTTGGCCATGACTGGATGTTTTTGTTTAATGGTATAAGGATTTACGCTGTCTGCTGGAATAAATGCCAGCATACTTGATATCATTTGACCATGAAAAATGTGCAAGATCCTCATCCTCACCATCCATACGGTAATTCTTGGCATTCTTCCCTTCACTGTAGGCTGTACACGTTGCTGACCTGAGCAGAGTTCATTCATCAGAGGGTGGATTCAGGGATTCTATTTATATAGTGCAGCCCTACAGACTGTTGCATCAAGCCATCCTAATAGCACGGTACTGGAGGGTTTAAGTTCCTTATAAAGTTCCAGTCACCTTGTACTAAGCTAATGCTCTAAAGATATATGTTTTGTAGGATTTTCTCAGTCTAGATCTAAATCAGATCTGCTACTTCTCAAGCCATGAGTATAACTGAATAAATAACTGTAACCTGTGTGCTCATGAAATCACTGGGGTGATTTTTCAGTTTCCAGTTGCAGGAAAGGTTGCCAGGTTTCTATGTTTTCCCTCGCTCAATCAGGTACAGAAGTTGCTAGAAAGGAAAGTAAGCTCCCTGTGAATGACTGCAAAAACTATCTTCTCAATATGGGTGTAGAGTAATGGGCATGGTGCTGATGAGCTGATGGTTTGACTGGGTGATTTTAGTGGACTTTTCCAACATTTATGATTCTATTATTCAATTCAGATCACTGATGTTAACCGGGTACTTTGCGATATAATTTTAGTCACGCATGCAGCTCACATTTGAAAGGCATCTCTTCCCCACGTAGTGCACAAATCCTTGTGATAAGATGGGAAGATCTCTGTGTATGAATGAACTTATACTGATGTGCATTTCATTATATGGATATTCAGGACAGTTCCTTCTGAATGCATATGAACACTTCAGTGAGGATCAAGATCTTGGTCGACTAGCAGATGTTGGTAGCTGTCTAACTACTACTAACAGGAGGAGGTGCATTGTTTGCAATAGGTGTCCACTGCAGCACTGCTTATTGGAATTGAGAGGGATGCCAGCATGCTGGTAAAGTTATGATACTTTGAGGGAGGATAGAGGAAATTCAGGGGGAGTGGTGAACTATTCTCTTGGAGCTAAAATCTGTAATGCTTTTGTGGAGACAATACTTTATTATTGCATGAGCTGCTCATTACATTTTTAGTTGGTTTGTTTTAGCAAGTATGAATCTAAGTAATATTTAATCTACTGTGAAGTGTCTCAGTGGGACTCAAACCCGTGTTTTATTATGCTTTACTATAAGCCATTATCTTCCATTTTCCCATCCCCATCTTTAAGTGGGTCAATCTTACTTCCTCTCTAGATATTTCTTGTTAAAAACAGGGGCCTTAATTATGAAATAGCCAAGCATTTTTCTGACCTTTGGAAATATAATTAAGCTCTAGCATGATGTTAGTGTTTAGCTCATAGCGTCTCTAGAAACTCATACATGTTTTTAGTATTTTAATTGATCAATGAGCCTGGTTTTTAATGTATATATTTAGTTTGTCATTCTGATATTGAGAAGTCAAAATTACTGATGATTTTGTCTTTCTGATTGCAGATAAAGCCACCTGAGAGTGCTAGCAAGTTACAGAACAACCATTTTCTCAAACGAGTTAACAGGAAGGATATTCTCTACTCCCTTTTTTAAATGGTGAGTTAGTCAATGAACACACTTTGCCATGTATGACTCTATTATTTAAAGCTGTGGTAAACTTCTTAAACTGAAGACCAATGCTGAAGTTTGGAAACTGTCCAGAAGGCTTTGAATTATGATTGTGAATCAGGCTAGTATTTCTCTCATGTTGAAGATGGGCTGTATTAGGCACTGAAACAAATGGTAAAACACACTGATAGCCCAGAAGACTGTTATTTAGATAGTAATCTTGTTGTGTAGAAAACAGAAATAAATTTATTGTGTTTGTGGATGCTCAGGAAATATCGGATTTTAAATTTGCATCCATTAATTATTTTACCCTCTATAATCTGTACTTTGCTGATGTGCTGTCTTAGAGATTTAAACCAAATCTGCTGAGGTTACATGTTTGACTGCTTGCCTAAAAAGTTCAATGGATAATAAAAGGTTTATATTTATTGATATTAAATTAACATCCCGTGGAAAAACCCTCTTTTCCTCAGCCCTCTGTGTTGGCTGGGATGCTCACATACAACCCACACTTCTGGATGCAGAACATGTTTTCTGTTTGTGGGAAAGCAAGAAGAAGCTGTGTTGCATCTGCTTGGTTGTGATGGAAGATATGGACTGTGCAGGTTGAAGCTAGAAAGGACTTCTGCCAAGCTTTAGGCAGTTTTGTTAGTGTAAGTAAAGATGTGCTGATTTTAAGAGACTGCAGCTTTTCTACATCTGTAACGGGAAGCAGAGAAACCTAAAACCTGGGGGGCATGTTTAATGTTCTTCCTTTTGAGAAGATGATTAGGTTGAAAGTAGTGTTTAGCTGTTTGTGGGAGAGACCCCTTATTTCCAACCTCTGTGAAATAACCTGTTTTGCACGTATAGTAAGGTGTTTTTAAGTTGAGTCATTCTTATCCTCACTTGGATGATCAGTGTGCCTTGTCTCTTCTTCTCCAGGTTTCCTAGTGTGTTTTGCTTATGCGAAGAGCCCAATAGTTGTGAAGTTGCTCAAAATAAAATACAACTGTTAAATATTTGTGAAAGGTACAGATTCCTTAAAGTGCCAGCTTTTTGCTGGCTGAGTTGTCCAGAATTCTCCTACTGTTCTCCAGAAACCTATTTCTTTCTGCCCAGCTATAGTAAACTAATGAAAAACACTGACTCACTCAGCAAAAAGCTGAAGTTCATTAATTATATAGCAGTGTTAGGAGAGAGAGGCAGGACGGTGTTTCTGAATTGAGTGCCCTGTGGAGGTGGGGGAAATGTCCTGTGAAAGAGGAAAGAGTGTCCCTAAATCTTTGCATTACAAGTGAGTAAAGTCAAGTTGATGTGAATCTATTTTTTAGTAGAGCTGACTTAAAAATCAAAGAAATATGATCACAGATTCTGATCTTAATTGAGAGATGCATGCATTGTTCATGAGCTTCTGATGTTTTCTGATCTTGATTTTAAAGGAGACTTAGTATCTGGGCTTAACTCTTGCATGTATTGGCTTTGGATTCTATGCAGCATGCATTTATTTCTCATTGGGACTTCATAGAATCACAGAATCCTTAGAGTTGGAAGAGACCTCTGAAGGCCGTCTAGTCCAACTCTCCTGCAGTGAACAGGGATATCACAGCTAGGTCAGGTTGCCCAGGGCCTTATCCAGCTTTATCTGGAAAGTCTCCAGGGATGGGGCATCAACCACATCTCTGGGCAACCTGTTCCATGCCTCACCACCCACACTGTAAAAAATGTTTTCCTTACATCTAAACTAAATCTGCCCTCTTTGAGCTTGAAACCGTTTCCTCTTGTTCTGTCACCACAGGCTCTGCTAAAGAGTCTCTCTCCTTCTTTTCTGTAGCTGTCCTGTAGGGAGCCTGCAGAGAGGAGGGGAATCAATTCTTTGAAAGGGTAGATAACAGCAGGACGAGGAGAAATGGTTTTAAGTTGAGGGAGGGAAGATTTAGGTTGGATTTAGGCATTACAGGAACTCCCCTTCAGAATTATACAGTTAGTATGTGGGAATCTGCTCGAAGATGAGGTTTAAATCTCAGTTGTCTGTGCACTGATTTAACTGAATCGGTTTCTAAATTTAAACTGATGTGGTTAAATTGCTTCTTGAACTGTGTGTCAATTAGTCTCTGATGGCTTGATTTTTCCATATATGCGGCTTGTCTCTGTAGATTACATTGACTATTTAAAGCGTAGTTGAAAGCAATGTAAGAATTGATTAGTTATGTAATTTGGTGTGTGAAAGGACAGTATAATGTAATCTTCAGGAGACCATATTGCTCTCTACGGCCTGAAAGGAGGTTGTGATGAGATGAGGGTTGGCTTCTTCTCTCAGGTAGCTGTGGTAGGACAAGCAGGAATGGTCTCAAGTCATGCCAGGGGAGATTCAGGTTGGGTATTAGGAAGAATTTCGTCTCAGGAAGAGCAGTGAGGCATTGGAGTGGGCTGCCCAGGGAATGGCAGTCTCATCATCCCTGGAGGTGTTAAAAGAAAGGGTAGATGTAGTACCTGAGGACATGGTTTAGATGAGCAATATTGGTGATAGGTGAATGGTTGGACCAGATGATCTTAGGTCTTTTTCAACCTTTATGATTCTTAGATGACTCAAATGATACTTCTTGAGAATTGGCATCAGTGCCTAATGTTAACTTGTTAATCTACAGAATCTCTGGTCTCTAATGCAGTTGTACAAATTTTGCTTAATTTGTTGTGATTCTCAAACAGCCTTAGGCAGGATGCTTACAACTGTGATACTGCCGCCTTCTGGAGCCTCAAAACAGAGCTGGTGAGAGCAGTTCTCATGCACCGTGGCCAGCTGCTTGCAGCCATGGTCAAAAAGCCCTCTCCTTTTGAACTGTGAGGTCTCGCCAGCTCAGTGGAATTTAAACTAATAATTGTGTTTTCCAAGGTGGTCACAAGGATGACAGCAACACCAGTGCTGGGATGGAGGCATGCTTCTTAGCTTGTTGAGGCTGTGAAGCTGAGAATGTGGTGTTTGAAGGGAAGGAGGAGGACCTGACCTCACTGCCTGATGAAGGGAGATGGAGCCCTGGCTTCTGACTTTCCTCAAAGAACACAAATTTCCTTTTTAAAACAGTGATATGTTCAGATGGAAGTGCAGAAATAGCCCTGAAAAATGGAAATTCTGTTTAGAGGTTTGCAATACAGTCATGATGGTTTTAGATGAGAGAACACTTTGGGGGAAGCGAGCACTGATGCATGATGCAGTTGGGAACTGATGATAATTGTCTCTGACTCGGTGTGCAAAACAAAAGATGATTATTATTGTGTTACGTCATCTTTGCAAAACTTTTTGTTTTTGAAAGGCGTGCATTTCACTTAAGGGAAAACTCTCAGCACCTTCATTACAAATCTTCTGTGACAGGCCATACGTAGAGACCAAAGGCATAAGGAGAGCCTTTGAGTATTCTTTGCATCCCCCGGATGCTTTCTGTCTAGGTCAGCTGAGAAAAGGAGGGGATGAGAGGCAGCAGGCACAGACCAGAACACAGGAAGTTCCCACTGAACGCGATGAAAAGCTGCTTTACTTTGAGGGCAACAAAGCACTGGAACAAACTACCCTGAGAGGTTATGGAGTCTCCTTTCACCTTTCAGAGTACATTTATTGAAACAAACATAAAAATCTTTTAATACTTCATGCCTTTTAAATTAATTTGGTCCTAAACATTTATAGGTATATGCTATTTTGTTATTTGCAGATAAACCATTTAAACCAACATATACCACACTAACATTCAACAAAAGCATCTTTTTTATGAAAATGATGCAGATATGAATAAACTACATGTCTAACAAGGGAAATATCATTCGTAGTGTATGCAGGAGAAACGTCATGTAACACAGACCTTACAATGCATCAGATGCTTCTGTGAGTCATGGGAATAAATATATGAGAAATGCCTATTTTCTTCTGTCCAGTAAGATTTTGTTGGTCTGCGAACAGAATCTGTTACTGGGCCTCCAAAGTGATTTTGGGAGATGGGACAACAGAGGGTGACAGAAAATTTCCACAACTCTGAGCTGTTTAGCACAGTTTTATATTCCTAGCAACAAGAATGACAAGATTTAAATCTTCCTCCAATGACAGTATTGATGCAGGATCTTGCAAAAGCTGTTATTAATCACCCAGGCCAACGTATCTTTCAGGTTTAGTTTTAACATTAAGTAATCACTTCTGTTTAGCTTGCTATTCACCTGTACAACTAGATGTAACTGGTCTTTTCAATGTCTCTGTTCTGTTTCTGTATGAGAGGTTAACTTGAATCACTAACTGTCTTTCTGTCTGTCTTTCTATCTGTCTTTCTGTCTTTCTTACTGTTTTTCTTAGTACCAAAGCAGATTGAGTGCTCTCACTATCACTTACGTAGTCCCGACTATAAGGGCAGTAATTCCATAAACTGCTTTGGCTTCTTTCCTTTGGATTATGTTTCTGTTTGCTTACGTCTGATTCCAGCCTGCAAGTAGCTCAGCCAGGAGCAGCAGTTACGATAGCAGAGAGGTTGAAAGAGGGAATGGGGAAAATAATCCGTTTAATTAAATCAAGGAGTAGTTGGTTCGCAGCTGCCATAAAAAGCACAGCTTTAAGTGGAGTGGGTCCTAAGGCAATAGCTGGGTTTTGCTTCTGAGGAAACATAACTCACCTTGTAGTTGAAGCATTTATTGCTCGGTATTGGTGTGATCTATGTCCAATTTCCAGTCCTTCTACAGTCCCTGAGAGCCCGTAAGCATAATCAAATAGCTTTGTCTTCCTCAACTATATAGCTGAGATGCTGCTTGCTTTTCTCAACTTGGGAGAGTAAATACAATGTCTAAGTGTACAGATACTGTAGTAACACAGGTACCATGCAACCTTGCTGTAACAGGCTCTCTGGTGCTCTTTTGGGGTGGTAACTTTGCCAAACGTAGGCAGTCCTTTTCTTTAGTGTTTTTTCATTGGCCTTACTGCCAAGGCTTTGGTATGTGGTTTGCTGCCAGCAGGATGGCTGCCAGCTAGTGGGAAGATG